GTAATGATTTTTATCTCAGTTTCGGGGTTAACTGCTTGCCCATAGCTGGGACCCTAACAGGTGCTACCACCCCAGGTTAGGGTGTACGTAGGAACACCAGAAATTAAGAGTTGGTTCCACGCTCTTCAAAACCTCCTGATCAGAGGCCTTGCTGTTGGATGTAGTTTATCGTCTTACCCTGGACGCGGATGTAGTTTAACGCCATACCCAGGACGGATACAGCCAGAGCACTACACCATATATAGCAGATTTATCAATGTGTAAGATGGATTCTAACAAGAATGGTTTTCTGGCGCGACACAGTGAACCAAAATTCTTAGCAAAAGCATAAGGTTTGTTAGCGTAGTCGACATGTATTCATAATAGCCAAATATGATTACTAGTTAAGAGTATACATTCGCTGTTATAGTTTTTTCCAAAAATGGTAATTGCTTATTATCAACCTAACGTATAGAACTGAAAATATAAAAAAAATATACGCAAATTTAAATTAATTTTTTCACCCTTGGAAGTGTGGTCTGATGAGCTAGGTAAAATGAAATTCCCTGGGGAAATAAATTATAACCAATGGATCCTTAAAGTTGTCTATTTTCATTAAATTAATCGATCTGATTTAACATTGAGCTCTCCGGATTTCATCCTCCTTGGGACTACCCATACGGATTACCAAGATTTTTATTATATATATATATATATATATATATATATATATATATATATATATATGCATATACTGCACTAGTTCGCCGATTGACCACTATGGAGAAAGGGAATTTTAAGAGCTGCTGCTGCTTCTGTTTGACGCTTTCTGGCTGGTGGTCTAGCGTTTATATACATCACGTATATAATACGTTAAAAGATTCCTTTTTTTCTGTCGTGCGCCTATAGCTTGGGGGTAGAGTCACTGACTGAGGCCAAAATCGGCATGAAGCAATCGGATATCTATCCACGCTAGTGAGGTCTCATATAGCGAAGCAAGCTGGCTATATATATATATATATATATATATATATATATATATATATATATATATATATATATATATATCGACTGTAACAACAAAAATGTCCAAATTGTGGTAACAGCAATCTTGTTCAATTGTTATATTAAGCATTTTGACCGTTGTATCTTAGAAATGATTAAAGATATCTTACTGGAATTTTACGAGGTTTTTATAACATTATTGGATTCAACATTGAGGAAAAGAATGTATAATTACTATCCAAGCTTAACAGAAGAATCGTGATGAAATTGATCATAAATGAAAATGACATCTTCATCATTAATTAATCATAGCTAAGTGTCCGAAATCATGAAGTATTCAAATAAATTTTTATCTATTTTTCTACCTACCTACCTACCTACCTATATATATATATATATATATATATATATATATATATATATATATATATTCCAGGATCATTTTTCTAACATATTCACTATGATGTTCGCCCCTCTAAACCTCTAACTTTCTGTCTTGAAATAACAAGCTGCCTCATACGTTTCACGTACGATTTAATTTTCAAGACTTTTTCACTGCACTTTGGACTGTTATATATTAAGCTAAGTTGACACTATTAGGGTTGAAAGGCTAGCATGATGGCTATACTGAGAGAGTTGTGACAGTTTATTTGACTATCATGCGGTTCACACTCTTCCACGGTCTTTTGAACCGGATTAGAAGTTTATCCGATGTTTACTGTTTACGAGTAAGTTTGCGGTTCCTTCAACTCTGTACTTCTGTCCAAGATTGAAATCTAAAATTTTATTCAGTAATTATTATTATTTTTCCTCTCTCAATAGGAGCAGATAGGTTTGCCTATCGTTCTGTTCATACTCCTCTTCGGTCGTTTGAAAAGGAGTAACCGTTTATCTCGTATTTCCTCCTTAGTATTGTGTTTCTACTTCCTTCTAAAGTCTATTTTAACTATACTCCTAACGTCTTCGTCTGAAGTATTTTATGCAAATGACTCTCTACCTTGAGTGGCACTTGAGCCTTTGCATTAGTTGAACGTTAGCAAAAGGAAATGTAAAGTAAACTAAAAGCAAATATCCGTAGCAGGTTTTGGACAGTGCAATATTTTTAACTCTGGATGTATTCGTTCCTTTTCCAACTTTTTCAGTTCCTCGCATACACAGTCCATTTTTCCGTGGTCACGGTGCACAAGTCTCCAGTCGTCTGATCAATATTTACATCTGAACTGTGTATAGACGCTGAACCCAATATTCCTGGAACGATTTCCTTTCATAAGCCTCTATACAGGCGTCCTTCTTGGCACACAAGTTTTGATTACATCAGAAATAGATATTCCTGCTTCAGTTGCACAGAAAAAAAAAGCAAGCGATATTAAATCTGTATAAAAATAGAATCATTTTTGTTAGGTTCAACTTTGTGTTTAACTGCAAAGATAACTTTTCTGTTTCAGGATCATCGACATAAAAAAAAAAAAAGTTTTAAATCTTTCTTGTATAGAGTCGACATGGATATTCAGTCCTAAATATCGTCATCATTGCCTTTATCTGATATGTAAGAATTTAATTTAATTGCTGATCGCTTTCTTTATGATCATGGTGTTGATTGCTACATTCAGCGCGAACACAGATTCGAGACTAGAAGTTTCCATTTTCACTGTTACACTGTTTGAACTGTTGCCCCTATCTTCATTGACATATTAACGACGTTTCAGCCGTTGTAAACTTTGTCCTTCTTCAGGTGATATACGTTTGAATTTTTAGCCGAACATTTTATATAGTCCACCCGTGGTAGATTGTTACAGTTCCACGTACCATGCCATTTCTGGGTATCTCAGTTTTAGTTATTTCTATTCAGTAACTCAATTCTCATTTTTTTTACCTCTGCTGTGAACTCACAACTTTTGGGTCAAGTCACTGGATTACTATAGCCAATGCTTTTATCCACTGTGTCACGTGTATAACCGGGAGAAGGCCGGGGCGTAAAACGGCCGATATCTCGTTGAAAATGACAATAAAGATGAGGAAAACAGTCCGAACAATGTAAATAGTTACAATACCTCTTCTCAGAAATATAGAGACATCCTGAAGAAGGCCGGAACGTACAACGAGCGAAACATCGTGAATATGATAATAAAGATGAGGAAAACAGTCTGAAGATTGTAAATATTTACAATACCTTATCTCAGAAATATAGACATATCCTGACGAAGGCCGGAACGTACAACGAGAGAAACGTCGTGAATATGACAGTAAAGATGAAGGCAAGAGTCCAAACAATAGTTACAATGCCTCATCTAAGAAATATAGACAGATGTTGAAGATTTTCGTTTTACTAAAAACTGACCCCGTCCTGCATTCCCTATTGTCGTTTTGCTTTGCAAGAGTTGGTTGAAAATGAAAGAATATCAGAGTCGAAGAAAGTGGCGATGGTGTAAATTAGTTTAAGGTCGACCTGGACTTGCCAGGAAGTGATCTATAATACTCAATTTTATGACCTCCCACTGCGGTACACATGATATAAGACACACAGAAAATAGTTACGAAACTGTAACGGAGATCCACTGAATCTATTATAATATCGAGTGGCGCCTTCTGTAGTATGTCCGTGATGCGTAGCCCTCTTCATTGGCTGGTTGAAGATCTGTTGTAATCATTATCCGCTTGTTACACCGTTGGGGTCTTTGGGGTTGTTGCGTTTAGACTGGGTACTCGTCTTCGATGTGTCGCCAAGGGTGGCCCTACCAGATCTCCAAAACTGCCGACAGCAACGTTCTCAAAGTCATTGGACCACACAAGCCCCTTCGTCACGTCAAGGAGCGACCATCAAAGGCACGCACAGAGAAGCACACGCGCATATATAGACATATATATTTTACACTGGATGTCGGAGTAAACAGTCCGTCATCAAATGTTTTTGGAATTACTATAATAGAAACACATCGATAAATAAAATAGTTAAAGTTATGAAATAAGCATCAGTTATATGTAGGAAAAGCGTTTCAAGTCGTAACGTTATTTCATTTTTTTTTGTTTTTTTTGTTTAAATATTGGTATAGAATAGTGAAATTCGTAGTCTAATCTAATCTTTCAAATATCAACAGCAAGAATGGGGAAAATATTCCTAACATCATACTTATTATAAAACGCAGATTGTGTGTGTGTGTGTCTGTACGTTTATATATTGGTTCGGATTTCCTACATTTTTCAACAGATTTCAACAAAACTTCACAGGACTGTGTAAAATTACCTTGCTGTGGTTCTGACAGTGTCAAAAATTGTAAAAACACAATTGCTTTTGCACGAAAACACGATTCTGTCGCCAGCATGAAATGGGGACAACTCGTATCGAGTTATACTTATTATAGAACCCAGGTTGTTTGTGTGTGTTCGTTTATATATGGGATCAGATTTCCTACATTTTTCAACCGATTTCAAAAAAATTTCACTTGTTTTGGCAGGTAGTGTTTCTTATTGTCTTGTACACTTTTTTCGTTATTTTTACATTTAGAATGCTTTAAAAAATTCCATTTACAAGACAATTGTTTATAATAAAATTCTATTCAATCGATAGACTCATAACGATTGAAAACAATGTTTTTGTTTGAGTTTGACCAATTCGTAAAAAAAGAAAACTAATTAAGACATGCGTGTTCGTCGACCTTAAACAATAATCTTTGTCAATTTTATTTTTCAATCTTTATGATGGTCGATACTTGATCTATCTCTTACTGTTACATCCCCGGGCAACGCCGGGCTCTACTGCTAGTTACTAATGAATTGAAACAAAATATTAGTTTATATAATTAAGGGTAATTGAATGACAACATTGTAAACTTGAATGTAAAGACTCGAACCTTCAAAGAAACGATTTCAACGTAAAATTGTTTAAGACATGGATAGCCATTGGCTTGGTCAGGTTTATTTGTCCAAGACACGCTATACATGAATGAGTATCTACAAATCAAGGAACTGGTTAGGTGCGATGATGAATAATGCTATGAATTTAGATTAATAACATTTTGTTGAAACGCCGATATCCGTTCGATCACCGAAGTTAAGCGACGCCGAGCCTGGTCTGTATCTAGATGGGTGATCACTTGAGAATAGCAGGTGCTGTAAGCTTGGGTGTGCGAATGATGCAATGGTAAACGTCTCGGAATTGTTAATCGGAGAGACGTGTTCCAATCCAAGACGGTTTAGGTATATACACATACGCGCAAACACCCACTGAGGAAGGAATCAATTCATTTCCTCTCCACCCATAGATGGGACCTTTTGACAGGTGCTACCACCCGTGCCAGGGTGGACTTGGGAACACCACTAATTAATAGGTGGTTCCATGCCCCTCAAAACCACCTGACCAAAGGCCTTGCTGCCGGATGTAGTTTATCGTCATACCGAGGACAGATACCTGCTGATCTATTTTATTTAGGGTAGGTCTTCTTAACCTTCCGTTGTGGCTAATCGTCCAGTAGGTTTTAAATACAATATGTTTAATATAAAAAGAAGGACTGCGTTTAACTTTCCGATGACACTTATTGCACGGCCTTGTGCCACATCTTAGCTAAGTTTTGAAAATCAGAGGCGCGTCGAAGTGGTGTAATGTTTATCAACGTTGCTTTGCTAGTTCAGTTACGATCCTCACTAGATGCGCTAATTATTCGTCCTTGTGCCAAATCTAAGCTTAGAAAGTCAGGGTATCTTCAACGTGGTGTAATGGTTAACGAGTTCGTTTCGCTAGCTTAAATAGAACTGAATAGTGATTCCAATCCTAAATGGGTACACCAATTGTTCGGCTTTGTGCCAAATCTAAGCTAAGCTAAGAAAATCACGGGATCATCAACGTGTTGTAATGGTTAACTAGTTCGTCTCGCTTGCTTAAATACTGCTGAATAGTGATTTCGATCCTCAATGGGTACCCCAATACTTCGTCTTTGTGCCAAATCTAAGCTAAGCTAAGAAAATCACGGGATCTTCAACGTGGTGTAATGGTTAACTAGTTCGTCTCGCTTGCTTAAATACTGCTGAATAGTGATTTCGATCCTCACTGGGTACCCCAATATTTCGTCTTTGTGCCAAATCTAAGCTAAGCTTAGAAAATCACGGGATCTTCAACGTGGTGTAATGGTTAACAAGTTCGTCTCGCTAGCTTAAATACGACTGAATAGTGATTTCGATCCTAACAGGGTGCTCAAATCATTCGGACTTGTACCTTATCAAGCTATGCTTACAAAATCACCATATCTTTTCCCACCGTAGATACGGGTTTGATTTTATGCACACTTATTGAATCGGTGAGAATAACTTTTTCTTAAGTTCTCTAAGGTTTTCCTTTATATAAAACGGTCTTTTGACACTGCGTTGTTGTTATGCCGTATCGAATCGCCTTCTCAACAATTAGATTAAATTAGACATAACAAGCTGATTGTTTTTTTTTTCTGTAAGACGACCTTGTACCAAAACGCAATCTATAATTTTCTCTTGCATAGATTAGACGAAGAATATTCACTCGTAACATTAAAATTACGAATGAATTAAATTAAGAAATATTACTTTGATGGAAGAGATTATACGTTTGTTGAAAAAATATTTTATTCATATAAATTCATAGCATCATTCATCATCATCGCACCTGACCAGTTCCCTAACTGGTATTCGTTCATGCATAGCGTACCTTGCGCAAATACGCCTGACAGAGCTCATACGGAAGTCGTTTAACTTGAAGGCAGGCATTGGTCTCGAAGACATGAACGTGGATTCAACCAGGAAAACCTTCCGAATTATGCGTTGAATTCAGTCGAGGAAGTCTTCATCAACGGTCTAGTTGGATACATTCCTATGCAGGCCTTGGGCACCTCGTCGTGGTGCAATGGTTAGTAAGCATATCTCGCTAGAACAATTATGAGAGAGTGGTGAGCACGATCCTCACGGGGTGTCCGATATTTTCGGCCTTTTGCCACATCTAAGCTACGCTTAGAAAATCACCTAGCTATGTAGGCCTTCGGCACCTCGACGTGGCGCAATGGTTAGTAAGCATATCTCGCTAGAACAATTATGAGAGATTAGTGAGTACGATCCTCACGAGGTGCCCCATACTTTCGGCCTTGTGCCACATCTAAACTACGCTTACAAAATCGACATAGCTATGTAGGCCTTTGCCACCTCGACGTGGCGCAATGGTTAGTAAGCATATCTCGCCAGAACAATTATGACAGAGCAGTGAGTTCGATCCTCACTGGGTGCCCATACATTCGGCCTTTTGCAACATCTAACCTACGGTTAGAAAATCCCCATAGCTATCAAGGGATTAAACAACTCTACGTAGTGCAATGGTTAGTAAGCAAATCTCGCTAGAACAATAATGACACAATAGAGAGTTCGATCCTCACTGGGTGCCTCATACTTTCGGCCTTGTGCTACATTTAAGCTACACTTAGAGAATCACCATAGCTACGGAGGCCTGTCTATTCGACGGTGCTCGATATTATTTGACTCTACAAGTAGGTACATATGTCTATTGAGAGTTGTATGTCTAGCCACCCTCTATATTGAGAGTTGTATGTCTAGCCACCCTCTATATTGAGGGTTGTATGTCTAGCCATCCTCTATATTGAGAGTTGTATGTCTAGCCACCCTATATATTGAGAGTTGTATGTCTAGCCACCCTATATATTGAGAGTTGTATGTCTAGCCACCCTCTATATTGAGAGTTGTATGTCTAGCCACCCTATATATTGAGAGTTGTATGTCTAGCCACCCTCTATATTGAGAGTTGTATGTCTAGCCATCCTCTATATTGAGAGTTGTATGTCTAGCCACCCTATATATTGAGAGTTGTATGTCTAGCCACCCTCTATAGATGTGAACCGGTTAAATTGCTTGTTAAAACACATTACTAGAATTTTTTTCTTTTTTTTTTATCAATTTAAGGTATATTATAGTTAACAGCTGCAAGGGTGTCACATTAATGTGACATCCTGGCACCTTTACTCTTTGTTATCTCCCTTGATTACGGATTGAGAATTTACCTCGACTTAAATCATCACGTAGGATTTACTTTGTTAACGAGACTCCCAATTGCAAAAGAATTGACGGATATTAACTATGCAGATAACCTGGCTGTCACTGCAGACCCCATTACCGATGTCACAGCTCCCCTACACCAGGATGTGTAGTATGTGCATGTTATTTCTTATCAATATTTACTTTTTCTCTTTATACGGGAGAGTGTGGCGCATGTTTGTCCAATGTAAATATTTAATTCTGCTATTTCATTAGTCTGTTGGATATCCAGGATAATTGGATTTCCAACATTAATAATGAAATTACAATTTAGACAACATTATTGTTACATCAGTCAGTCAGTTAAATGCCACGCGTGATACACGCTTGGCCGATCATGTATCTTTCGATATATGAATGACGAGTCTATATCTCTGAGATGAGGTATCATGATTACTTGCATCAACACATTATTCGGACTGTTATCCTCATCTTCATTGCTATATTCACAACGTTTCCACCGTTGTATGCTCCAGCCTTCTTCAGGTGATTGGATCTCTGAGATGAGATATTATGATTACTTGCACTATTTACATTATTCAGGATGCTACCCTCATCTTCATTGCCATATTCATAACGTTTAGGACGTTGTACGCTCCGGCCTTCTTCAGGTGATTGGAATTTCGAATCGAACCCTTTATGAATATGTGTGAATATGATTCCGTTTTGTATATTTTGAGGAAAAGAAAACTTGAGAGGTAGAAATATAGTTACTTTGTGAAGGGACTAATATATATATATATATATATATATATATATAGAGAGAGAGAGAGAGGGACAGAGAGACGGATAAGTAGATAGATATAAAGATAAATAAATATATAGATATAAAGAGCTTGTGATAGATAGGTAGAATGAGAGACAGAAATAGATAGATAAAGAACAGATTCAGATATATATTAAAAGACAGATTTATAAATATCGACAGATACATAGTCAGTACAAATAGACAGATTGTTTATTACAGATTCCTAGTTTATTATATACGGAATAAGGTTTTATATATATATATATATATATATATATATATATATATATATATATATATAAAGGCTTCCTCGACTGAATAGTGATTGCGATCCTAACGGGTTACCGCAATCTTTTGGCTTTGTGCCAAATCTAAGCTAATCTAAGAAAATCACGGGATCTTCAACGTGTTTTAATGGTTAGCAAGTTCGTCTCTCTACCGAAAATACTAAATATTTCTTCAGGCCAGGATCGAAACCCAACCGATTTGGTGTCAGTCACTAAGCCATGTTCACTCGTTCCGCAGCTAAAACTAGCGTATTGTTTTTTACGAATGCAAACAAATGACAATAAGCCAAAGTATATATATATATATATATATATATATATATATATATATATATATATATATATATATATATATATATATATATATATAGAGAGAGAGAGAGAGAGAGAGAGAGAGAGAGAGAGAGAGACAGAGACAGAGAGTGAGAGCTGTGTAGCAATAAAGAAAGAGAAATAGAGAGAAATAGATAGGAACATAGATAGATAGATAGATAGATAGATAGATAGATAGATATGAAGAGACTGATTATAAATAGGAAGATAACGGACAGAATGTGATAGATAGATAGATAGATAGATAGATAGATAGATAGATAGATAGATAGTAAAAATGATGGTAGATGCAGTGAGAGGGGAACACAGAACAATAAGTGTTCTGTACAACTTGATTAACAAAGAAAAAACGACAAGTCATCATAAAATATAAAATGAATGACGATTATAAAGTTAAAGAAAGGGATCACACACACACACACACACACACACACATATATATATATATATATATATATATATATATATAACACTCTCCGATACAATTTCAAAACCTTTCTTTTTTTTTTCTCCACTTCATTTAAGCTTCGCGTTGTCTTTTGATTTATTTATTTTTAAATTATAAAGTCTTAGGAAATTATTTAACCTGGGTCGCCTGAAGATACCCAAAGAGTGAAACCAAGGTAGCGTGATCGGATGATCTCCTAATTTTTTTGTAAATTTAAAAGTTTTGCATTGCAAATTTTTATC